ACAGCTAGAGGAATATCTCAGGGTGTTTTTTATGCTGCCACAAATTTTTTTTAACAAAAATGTACTACAAGAACTCGCCTTTGAAGAGTGTGGCTGTGAACCATCAACATTTAAAAGTGAAATGCCATTTTGAAATATGGAAATGTGTAAATGAATGTTTATGCTCTCTTCATTATTAGATTTACCACTGGTCTGAATCTGCCTACATGATGTAGCCTTCATATAAACACGTGCACATACACACACTCCCACACATGCTAATTGACCCAATTACAACAACACTGCTACCGGCTGCCTTACACCTCGGTTTCCATAGTAACTCAACACCGCTTCCCTCTTCCTGCGAGCCTTTTATGAAGAGAGTTTTTAACAATTGCCACAAGGCTTTTAAAATATCAGTGCTTTTAAAGGAATAGCTCACCCAAAATGAAAAATTGCTAAAAATGTACACACCCTCAGGCCATTCAAGATGTATAAGAGTTTGTTTCTTCAATAGAACAGATTTGGAGAAATTTTCACCAGTGGATCCTCTGCAGTGAATGCATGGGTGCCGTCAGAATAAGAGTCCAAACAGCTGATAAAAGCATCACAATAATCCACAAGTAATCCACATGTCTCCAGTACATCAATTAACATCTTGTGAAGTGAAAAGCTGTGTGTTTGTAATAAACAAATTCATCAAGTTGTTTTTAACAAAAATTTGAGTCCTCTATCCGTAATATTGTTTCTTCAGTGAAAAATCACCTTTTCTGAATTAGGAGAGAAATATGCACAGATAAGCACCGTTTATAAGCAAAAACAGTCCAAAATATTGATTGAATGGAGGCGTGGATTATTGTGATGTTTTTATCAGCTGTTTGGACACTCATTCTGACGGCACCCATTCGCTGCAGAGGATCCATTGGTGAGCAAGTGATGCAATGCTAAATTTCTCCAAATCTGTTCAGATGAAGAAACAAACTCGTCTACATCTTGGATGGCCTGACGATGAGTACATTTTCAACAAATTTTAATTTTTGCATGAACTATTCCTTTGACGTCTTAAACTAATTGAAAAAAAAGCTAAATCTCAAGACTTGTTTCATTATCCATCCTGACATTGTTGGAGCTCTTTTTATTAAATGTTCTGCCGCTAGATGCCTGCCAGTATCTCATTTAGTTCAAGCTATTATGGTATTTGACCAGACAGATGTCCACCAGAAATGAAAATGTGGCTGATGGCCATCTTATCTAGTCAAATAAAAAACCATCTTTATTATTTTCATGCTACTTTGATACATTTTCTATCATCTGTGTGTGTTGTGTGTGTGTTTCAGATTTGTGGAATGGTGTTCACCTGTTGCCTGCACAGGCGAATTAAACTGGACCCGTACTGACGGCTCAGAAACGTTATATGCCTTTCCTGACACTCCAACACACACAAACACAGCCTGCATGACCAAATCCATTTACATTAATATAAGGGCTTTATTATCTTTCATTTGCCACATTTTTAGACAAATGTTGCTATTGTTATTGCCTCCTTATGATCCTAATAGTCTTGAAAGATGTGGGATATTGCCCTGTAGTCATTTAGATGTCAAGGAATCAGTCAGAAAAAAAATCTAATTTTTACTTTTAAAATAAATTATAATATTTAAAAATAATTTTATTAACCACATATTTGCTTTGATTTGCTCATATTAAATGTATGTAATGTGCTGCTAAATCTTAATCAAAATACACTGGACCAACGTCAAGACCATTTATTATTGTATTTTCATAAAAAAAAGTATATGAAACTTGTAGAAAGATCACTGTTTAGCCATTATGTCCACTGTATCATATACACTGAAAAAAAAACTTGGTGTAGAAATGATTTTCACTCAGAAATTCCAAGTCATTTTGCCAAATAATGACAAAAATAGCAAGTAACACATTGAATGAAACATTACATTTTGAAGTAGAAAGACTGAAATAATATTTTATTGTAAAACATCCAATAATCATTATTTTAATTACAACTTGATTTTCTTTACAGTGTAGTAATTATTATTATTTTGGCATTACAGTAAACAAGTGTCTTTTAAATCAGTGGATCTCTTCAGTAGTTGTTCCTGCAGTATATATCAACTTGCAGATACTGTGTAATGTAAAATCTGCCAATGGACCTTTTTCACATTTCCGGGTTTCTCAGCAGCGGAAGTCGTCATAGTTGGGTTAACTTGAAGAGCAGTGAATGGTAGAGTACCACAAACATATGTTTTGCATTCCCATTTGCTCAAATAGCAAAAGAAAAACTCCACGATAGTGTTTTCATGACTTTCAATAAAAGGAAACAAATTGAGAGAGACTGATAACGGCAGTCAGAAGAGAGAACGATGTCAAATTTACCATCCCTCCCATAGACGCTGCATTAGAAAAACCCTCGCATTTTGTTAACTGTTTTTTGTAATTTGATGCAAAGGTGATATAATACAAAGAATAGTGTTATAAATGTACATACATCAAAAAAAAAATACAAATATGAAAAACTCGTAATCACAGTCTTGTGAAAAGGGTCCATTGTTACACTTTGTGTTAAATATTGAAAAAATTTGAAAAAGATGAAGCTGCTTTTTGAGCCTTAATGATTTCCCTTAGATGGATTGGCTGAATATTATGCTTATCTTATAAAAGATTTTATTGAATTGATGAACTCCCATTTAGGGTCATGTTATGAAGGAGAAGAATGAGCATTATTCCATTTCATTGTAACACACAAATCACAGCTGCAAAATCTTAATGTAGTTGCCACAGCAACGTCAGCCTTATTGAAATTCAATGTCATTTGGGGAAAAAATGGTTAGAAAAAAGAAAAAGATTTAATGTTACATTCTTGTTTTTTATTGTGCTGATTAATTACTGTCTAATCCAATTGCTTTATGCTAATGTCAGTAAAAACATTGTGCAAATAAACAATCTCTCATCTGAGCTGCATGTAAGTCTGTATGTGATTTAAAATATGAATTTAACCATCTAGTTAGTTGATATAATAAATGTAATCTTTCATTTGAATCATGTGTTTGTAGATGGAATGTGCATGTATTTTCATAAAGCATTCACTTCATAAATTCTTTGCCTAAGACTGTTGCATTCTTTTGTGGGCAGTAGAGTTTTATCTGAAACAGCTGTATGTTTATTGTCTGTTTTTAAAAAATCTATTTCAAATAAACTTATTTTGTTGACATATTCTGGTTGGCTGCTTGTACTGACATACTTTAGCCAGTAGATGGAGACAAACAAATGAATAAGCTTGCTTCAAGGACAAAAACTCGTCTTCAACTTTAAATTGAAAATCCACACGATCCTCATGTGTTTTATTTGGGGGAAAAGACCCATTGACATGCAGCCATTAATATCCCGGATAATAACTTTGATGTCCGGATAATATCCAGATCCAGATTGTCTTTACATTTGACCACATAAATTTGTCCCTGTTTTCTGTCTCTTGACAGATAAAAATCTCATCTGTAATGCTTTTCCCTTGTTGCAAGCAAATATGAGGAAGCTAATTTCCTGGTTGCTTTTTGTGATGGTGCCATAAAATGTCATTTTTATATGGATTTGTGTGCATAAGAACAAGACTTTGAGTTATTGGCGTGGTCTTGTGGTTTTCTGCCTATTGAAGTTTTAAGCTTGAGCTGGCATTGCAGCCTCACGCATTTCTAACTGTTCTGTCATCAATTATAAGTAAGTTACTGACAAATTCAGTTAGGGTGGTGTAATGATGACTTATGCAACTTGAATAAGCAGATGTTTTCAGGTCACTCACATGCACAATGTGTTTTAAAGCACTTCTCGGTGTGCTTTAAGCAATATAATTGCAATGCATAGATGCAATTACACTGCAGGGCATCCATCTGATCAGTCCAAGGCCCATAACGTGGATTATTGTGGCCAAAATTCCCCCTCCGCTCCTGTCATTTCCTCAGGAAACCATGAAAAACTGAGCATATGAGTGAGTGCAACACCCCCCACACCCTAACCCTGTTTAACATTACCAACAAGTGAGAGTGAATGAAAGACAGCTGGTGATACATAACGCTCTGCACACACACCCTGATCTCAAATCTCTGAGTTATGCTACACCTATCTGCTTCATTTCAGCTGACTGTACCAATGAGATCTATCTATCTATCTATCTATCTATCTATCTATCTATCTCTCTATCTATCTGTCTGTCTGTCTGTCTGTCTGTCTGTCTGTCTGACAGTCCGTCTGTCTCACAGAATTGCCCAAGAACTGAAACTGACCTGACATGAATATTTAAACTGCATTGTACTCTGCAGTAAACATGCTGGAATGTTTCAGTGCCATGATCAAAGCTCGGGAAAGACGGATGCTTAGACAACAAAAGCTGCGAGTGTCAGCGGACCAGGACCGGAGGCCCGTCACACAAACTAAAACCGTAGAGTGTGTTCCTGTCAGCAGGCGGACATGTGTCAGAACCAAAGCAATCACAGCAAGCGATGAATAGTGCCAGATGTTGTTTCTTGGATCGGAGCCTGGAAAGATGGCCAGACGTCCAGGGAGAAGATCTTTCAATCAAACTTAAATCAGATGAGTGAATATTTTACATCTGTCAGATCTTCAGTGTTCTAAATGAATTAAATGAAATTATGCTTGTCATTGTGATTGACAAGCATTAATGCTGCTTTAGGCAACTGAGTAGATTGTTGTACTTGTAAAATGATTGTTTATACAGTGTACATTGCGACCTTTGGCCTTTACATAATGCAATTTTTGTGTGTCATAGACTTAAACATATTCTATTCTTGATGCACATTTACACAGATCCATCAGCAAATACTTTGTTTGTTTAGCTATTTTGCCTTTCCAGCATTGGAATGAAATGAGAGAGAACGACACTGAAATTTGATGTGCTGCCTTACCATAATATATTAATCTCTTCTCCAATTATTTACATGAGTTGTTATAACTTTCAGAACAAGCCCTCAAAAACAGTCAGCCAAAAACCAAACAAGATATATTATGAAGAAAAATCTAAACATAATAGACAGCTAACTAAACATAATATAATTTATTTACAAAACACACACACACACACACACACACACACACACACACACACCATGATGCTCATTCAATATTTTTGTTTTGTAAATTAAATATTTCAATATAAATGTTCAATAACTCAAAATGAGGAGATAATAAAAAAGTTTTAGCAGCAGGTTTACATATTTCACTTTGTTTTAATGTCTTTTTACAACCCGTATAATTTAAACCTGGAAACCAATCAACAACTCTCAGCCAATCATAAACAGCCTCAGCGCTGACCTGACCTCTTTAAATATTAATGTACTGTATGTATAATCCGATGAACTCTCTCGCGCTGTTTAACCCCATGTTAAACGCCAAACGCGTTAATTGTCGTTATAATAAACATAATCATTGTTCTATATATATGTCAGAAGACAACCAGAGCGAATTTACATGGCGACACTTCCGTTTCAGTGTTACTAACCTCATAAATACGCAAAATACGAACGCTAAACCCGTGTTTACAAGCGTAGCCTACAGTAAATCCTGAAATCTGGAGGATTGATTACTAAACCAGGGTAAAGTATAATGAACAGTGTGAGAACTTAACTAGATAACCAAGGATCACAATAATCCAGAGTTTATTTAAATTGTAAAAATAAAAATAAAAAACACCTCAGATACTATTTAACAAATGTACAGGGATATGAGATACACTGATACACTTTATATTGTTTCAGGTAAAGAAGCTTATTCATCTGGATAAAGGCATATCTCATCTGATTTGGTAAGTTAACTGTTGAATTATGTATGTGAGAAAGCAAAAGACTGGCAACGCACTAAATGCTTGCTCTGGTATCGTTTGTATATGAGTTGCTATGTTGGCCCTGGTTTTCTTTTGAACTGATGGGCATTTCTAACTGTTCTGTCATCAATTATAAGTAAGTTACTGACAAATTCAGTTAGGGTGGTGTAATGATGACTTATGCAACTTGAATAAGCAGATGTTTTCAGGTCACTCACATGCACAATGTGTTTTAAAGCACTTCTCGGTGTGCTTTAAGCAATATAATTGCAATGCATAGATGCAATTACACTGCAGGGCATCCATCTGATCAGTCCAAGGCCCATAACGTGGATTATTGTGGCCAAAATTCCCCCTCCGCTCCTGTCATTTCCTCAGGAAACCATGAAAAACTGAGCATATGAGTGAGTGCAACACCCCCCACACCCTAACCCTGTTTAACATTACCAACAAGTGAGAGTGAATGAAAGACAGCTGGTGATACATAACGCTCTGCACACACACCCTGATCTCAAATCTCTGAGTTATGCTACACCTATCTGCTTCATTTCAGCTGACTGTACCAATGAGATCTATCTATCTATCTATCTATCTATCTATCTATCTATCTCTCTATCTATCTGTCTGTCTGTCTGTCTGTCTGTCTGTCTGTCTG